TACTAATTTTTAAAGTTTCAAATTGAATTTTTGTTCAATAAAAATCTTTCAAATCCGACTGTAGCTTCCCCCACGAAAACTTTGTCTTCAAAATAAGGGCGCGTCTTATATTCCGAAAAATACGGTAGCTTCAAATCTTATTAATCATTACGTCTAAAAAACTTGAAATACACTTACTAAAATAAACAACCTTCCAAATATATTACCTATTATACCAAAGAGCTAGAGAAGCAGAAAACTAAAAAGTTTTCTACAATAACAAGAAGTTTACCATAAATTGTGTGTAGATATATCTGGTTCAAGTCTAGAAATAATTATAATATTAATTGTAACTAACTGTATACGTTCTTTACCTATATAAACCTGGTACTTGTTCATTCATTTTCACCAGAGAAAGTTCATTCAAACTTCTTGATTGTCAAGTACAGCTTATAAAATTAAAGTTTAATGAGCACAGCCTGGTGTGAAAAAATAACAAGACAAAATTAATTTACAAGTTTAATGAGCACAGCCTGATATGAAAAAATAATAGACAAAATCAATTTATAATTACATTTTCACTACTTCCTTTCTGTATAATTTAAATGTTAGTTTTGTCCAGATTAAAACAAATCCCGTCAGTAATGGACAATTTACACGGCTTTACAGAGAATAAAAACAATTTATGTGCAAAAATATAACATTAAGCACATGCTGCTTATATATACTTCATCACAATGTAAAACTAAGGTTAACTGTTTCTCACCATTGGTTTGTCGTAGAAGGGGAATCCATGCATTGATCTCAGAGCATTGGTTGCACTATTAATATCCTTAAAGATGACAAAGGCCTGCCCACGCATTTTAAGAGTCTTCATAGCAACAATATTCAGTATTTGTCCAAACTGTGAAAAAATGGCATACAGGGACTTCTTCAGCTCTGTAAGGCACAAAACAGATTACACCTAAGATCACATCATGTTAATAGTACTGTGCTTTTACAATAGGGCTTTAAATTAACAGTGGCTAGACAGTGGGTTCTAATGTTTATCCATTAAGGGACCAGTTGATAATCCAAACTACAGATGGCCACCCTATAATAAAAAAATGTTTTGATCTTAAAAGTTATAACATTAATGCAGAAAGCTGATGAAACATTAGAAGTCAATAGGCCTATCATTTGCACTAATCATGGACAAATTAACAGGATGTGGAAAACAAATCATCTGAAGTATATATGATTTTATTTTATTACTACCTCCAATGAGCAACCACAGTATTTCTAACCATGGTGCTGGCACAACTGTCTGCAACAACTGGACTGTGCGAGTTTAGCCAGCTGGCCCATATGTTAATTGTTTTGGCAACCAATCACACAAGTTAAGCTTAAGCCTTAATATCTCCATTTTCTGATATTCAGACTGGGTATGCCACGTAGCTGAAATGACAATCTCAGACCCACCATGGCACTGACATGTGAAATAATCTTGTTCATCACAATTACAGTAACCTCCTGTACTCAGAATATTACAATATAAATGACAGAGAAATTTGCTAGTGATAATTTCAAACCCTGAACATAGATCTAAAATTATATATTATATTAAAAAAAAAAAGTTATTCAAACACACAATGTTTCCTGAAAGTTCACACTGGCTGAGTAGTTACAGCTGTTAATGGCATGTTACACACAATTTTTTTTTCTTTTCTAACATGGCTGGCACTGTTGTAAGTTTTAAAGTAACTGCCAAACATTTGCCATTGGTCAAAAAAGTTTGTTTCAAGAACTGTTTTAAAAAAGTAATACTTAATAAACCAAATGTTCTGTAGAATTTATAAGAGTTTAAGGATGTTTATAAGTACAATAAACAGTGTAAACAAATTAACCAAAGTACTCTGGAATGAATATTTAAAAAAAGCATAATAAGCATACATTAATTATATATTATTATTCTTATTTACCAATTCGATGCTGAAGTCTTCCTGTATATAGATTTAAAAACAACAACTGTTTAATAAAATTTATAAAACACTAACAAAACTTAAGATTAACACGAAAGCTACGAGAGTATACTAACCAAAAAATAAGTCCACTTTTTTGAAAATACAATCATATAATCAATGACAACAGATCACTTGACCTTTGTGATAACATTTCAATGACATATACCTGTTCAATCCTCTAACACTATGGATATTAATGAACCAAAATTTTTACATTTTGGATAGTCTATTATAATACTACTGTTTTTGATTGTTCTGAAAATGTGTGCACATTTTATTATCTAAATGCTCATGTGCACGTACTTCATTTAAAAAGATGTAAATATACTTTAGGATATTTATTACAATAACATATTGATAGTTTTAAGTATGATAAAGTTTAGCCCTAATTAACTGAAGCAAAAAATTTACACAAATTACAGTTTTAACTTATCTCTTTATTGAATACAGGCCATACTTAGGTTTAACTAATGTTAAGCCTAAGACAAGTGGACTTGCAGATTTCAGTATTTGCAATTATAATTCTTTTGTACTATTCTAGAACTCCTGTATTTAAAGAAGTAATATTGCAATAAAGATACTAATTTGACTGCAAATGTTTTGTGGGTCTCTTACTAGTAAATTACCAATTATCCATATTATATTAGCTTTATAAAAAATGAATCAAGATCTAAAGATGTGTCACAGATAAAAAAGTGGACATTTAATAGTACAAGGTTTCTTGTTGTAACCAAGTTTTATATATATGTATATCTTTATTCCATCAAGTGTTTGTTATCCCAACTGATGTAATAAGTAGACCCCCAAAATAATGTTAGTATAACAGTAAACAATTTTTTTTCTGTTTTCTCTTAAGCATTGAAAATAATTTTTATATTTTACATCCATCCATTCATTCCAATCTTTGAGATAGGATATCCCAAGGTTGAATGGGTGGATTTTGATTAAACTTATATAACAAGTATTACATACAAAGTTCTAGACCTAATTAACTTTTGAAGGTCATGGGCCAAAGGTCAAAGTCAAAAAGCCACTGGTACATAGGAAATCTTCCCCAACTTAATGGACATATTAAAATACAGGATGAATGGATACTTAACAAACGTATGCCACATATACTACTTACAAAGTTATAGACCTGATTAACTTTTGAATGTCATGGGTCAAATGTCAAGATCAAAAGGCCACTTCTATATAGAAACTCCATTACAAACTTGTGGACAGGTGTTACATCGTCAGAATAGAAGGGGGGACTTAAATATACAGTATAATATTAGTGGGAATATAATTGTTTCATAAACACAAATTGAGCTATTTTTTTACATGGGACTACATATACACCATTTTCACATTTCTGGAAGTACTACTTTACAACAAAAACCAACATTTTACAAAGTAATGTGTCACAACCACATTCTTCTTCTCCAGGTCTAAGTACTTAGTACGCTCATGGATTAGTGACAACACTTTCTTTTAAATATAACTAAAACTACAGTGAAGTTTAAAAATATATTTGATTGGAATAATTTTAATAATAATATCAATATATATGTTAACAATGCTTCAGTAGTCATAATGTTTAAGATTTTCCAATTAAAGGGACCCTTGTGCACATTTGACCTGCTTTATACCTAGACATCACACAACAATAGCCTTACCTGACCATCCACCCAACTACAAGAGAAAATAAAACAGAGAATATGGTCAGGATTGGAATTACAGAATAAACTAACACTAGGATATCAGCCGTGGCATTGTTTGACATACTAGCCTAAACAATATGTAACCAAAAATATGATAATAATCTTATATAACAAAATTAATGTTCAAGTATATTTGTAATAACTTATTATTTTTTAATTAATAAAAGCTAAATTTGACAGTTATGGGTCAAAGGTCACTGGTACATTTAAGAACTACAAGCATATTATAAAAAAGAAGATTCAGGAACATTACACAACCTACATAAAACAATTCTCAAACTTGTGAGGTGTTTAGGTCCTGAATGTTTTTCTTTTAAACAAAACATTGTGCATTTTTTCTCAAGACAATATTTCTTCTTTTAAATAATAAAAACTACTCCAAGGTTTAACAAAACTATCAGTGAATGCCGCGTGGCTTACAAGTTCATACATATGCAAGTAGTGTAAAAACAAGCTATAAAAGAATACTTTCTGGAAAATAATGTTTTGTTGTTTGATTAAAGCAAAAATTAAATCCCTATGTTCTAAGTGCATTATGTTTCTAGCTGCAACTTTAAAAATTCAAACAGATTACTTAAATTGAGTTAGACAAATTTTCAATCATCATAAAATTCTTGATAACTCTGAAAGTTGCTGCCAAAACGAACTGCCACATCTGCTCAACTGATGTTGGACTGAAATGCATTAGTAGCTGAATTGTTAATAAATTAAACATCTGTTATCACTTAACTGTGAAAAGTAATATAATGTAACAGCCTAACTGGTTATCTCTCACCATTTAATATCTTAATAAGGGAAGACAGAACTTACCTTCTTTGTTGACTTTTTCATTAAGGTTGTTGATATAAATAGTATGGTTAGGTCTTATATCCATTTTTTCTGAAAGAAGCAAACATTTATGTAAATATACCAATTGTTTAATAGTTCAAAAGAAAACACCTGAATGGACAGAAAAAAAAAAATTTTGTTTCAGAGCCTGTTCTCTGTTGTTAAGCAATGGGTTTACAACTTACTATATTTATACACATGCAAACTTGAGTACACTGGTTCCACTACCGAGAGTCTTCGGCACAAAGAACACCAGAAGTTAAAACTTCACATTGCACACATTGAATAGAAGTGAGATTCAGCAGTTTAAAATTAGTTTATAAACCAGTAATGAAAGCAACTTAATCATTCAACTTATAAAACTCTGGAACAGATAACAGGCTCTATCTTTGAAACATAAATGTTACGCTGGAAGAATGCAAAAAAATTAAAACGGGTGCGACTTAGGAATAAACTGTAGTGCTGGAACTATCGTTACATAATAAACTTACATAACCGCTGACAATATTACATTTTTGTCAAGAAAACTACTAAAATACACTACATTTTGGTATTATGGTAATCAAGTTTCAAATAACATTCAGTATTTAGTAAGTTACTGATAAAATATAAACATTTTATAATCTCCAGTTTTAAACCAGTAAAGTTAAATATGAATATTGAAATATTTTAACTATTTGTTCCTAAAATCTTCATTAAAACTTTACATAACTGTTAAATGTCTTAACAATAACATGAGAGCTTTACACTAAAATGCCCTGTTACTTGTGGTGAGCACAAACATAACTGAACAATAGCAATTAGGCTACCGTAACAGTGTTTTTGTGAAGAACGGTACCACTATCACAGAATGTGAAGTTACTATTTCTAAAATGGTTTCATCTGCATCCATGGTGCACTTCCCTCAACAGAGTTGGCAGGGGGGGGAGTGCAACTATGGCTATAGGAGTATAAATCATATTTGAAAATAGTGTACAAATCTAAAAATAAAGATCTTAAAAAATACTGTACGAATATTATAATATATATGTAATATAGTAAGAACAATTACATGTACACTGTATACATAAATACGTTACACAGAATGGGGGAGTGCAAAAAAATGCATGTTTGGAAGGGTGGGCACCTTAAAAGTTTGCACACCTCTATTTTAGTTTACATTGAAGGTTGTCTGACCAAGGAAGTTGAAATGTGTAAAATAATATTATGCAGTCAGCCACATTCTTTTAATTAGCACAACCATAATGATGATTATGAACTAAACAATTCTAAACCTAAATGGTATCAATTAATTAAATAATTTTTATCTTTTTTATTCTTAAAAACTTTTGTTTTCAAAAGTTCTTAAATAATTTGTCTTCTTTCTATTATTAAAATTTTTATAAGCTTACGTTGTAAAACTTTCAAATTATTACTGCTTGTACCATTATTCTAAACCTCCAACAAATGTCTCGAGTGTTTTTAAATCAGTAACTACATCAAATCGCTTACTTATGTACATGTCAACAAATAGCTGTTGCACACCTCTGAACATATTAGTAACATTTTACTATTACTGACAAAACTACAGCTAGCTATCAAAAAGTTTGAGCAATTTAGTTAATTATAAAAATATATTGTTTGTCAAACTTGCCCCAAAATTTTTGGATCTCATAGTAGCAAAGACAGATACTATACCCAATATCTACTGGCCATTCAAGTCTCATTTTAAAGGAACTTAGTATATAAACTCTTTTAAACAAAAATTTATCTCAAATTATAGTTTATTGACTATTTGCAATAAAAATGTACATTAATTATAAAATCAATCACAAAAATGTTATTTTAGTCAGATATCACATTACAAACTTAAATGTAAGCTAACTAG